TTATTATTATTATTATCTTAAATTTAAAAGGGCTAATTTAAGGATAACCAGATAATTTAGAAATGCCTTAGATGTTTACTTTTAAAGAACAGTTTTATTTAATGTGCAAAATGCCTTTTACACAAGGCTTGAAAATATGACTGCAAACATCAAATAACGTATTTATTTCGTTGGAGCAAATTTTCTTTTCTTTTAGAGTCCGTGATTTACTGTATCGCGTGGCATGAACGTTGTCATTAAGGTTCCTGCTTAAAAATCAAGCACAGTTCACACGGTTGAATGCAGTGCGGAAGTAACGCTGCCGTGTTCGTCAAATCCGTTTGCTCCTCAGAAAGGATCGGTAAGATATCTTTGATCGCTGTGAAAATGACACATTCCTTATTTGGAAACATAATAGCGGTAAATTGTTTGGGAAATATCTGTGTTGCCTGCTAAATTACGGCTTTCCGTAAACTATGCGCATCGGAAGTGCGACTGTTTTTTTTTTTTGTTGTTGTTTTTTTTTAAACTGAGGAAGATGCAACTGCTTCAACTATCTTCGTCTTTGCAAAGATATTTCCTTCCGTATCGAATCGAAAGTGACTGAATTCAAGGGAAAATTATTTTTTTCATATTCTTTTGTTAGTCTCTTTAAGTTTTCTTGAAATCGATATTCAATCAATAGTTGTATTTTGGTTACGGCTTGGCCATAAAAGACATTTACAAAATGGCCGCAAAGTAATTCTATGAAAACGTTATCGTGGAAGCCGGTGTTCCGTGTTTGGTGCAATGCTTTTTTTTGAGACTGTATGCAAATATTTGAAACAATTCAGTGTTTAATGTCTGATACGAGTCAATTGAAGTTTAAGAAAATTCGCATTTAATTTTGAGCTTTTAGCTGTTATTGCCATTAAACAATTTTACGATTGAAATAAAATGAAAAACAAAACGGTTTAAATTTGATTTATAAATAAAAACAAACACTTAAGAGAAGTGATGTAGATTACTTAGTAGATAAATGATGTGGGGTTAATGTCGGAACCACAGAAGGAAAACACGGAACACGGATTAGATGTAAGAAAGATATATTAACAACAGGTTACAGAGATAGTGTAAGCGGAGCTTACTATATGTTAGTGTCCAATACTGGTAGTCGTACGCGGCTCTCACTGTGTCTCTCTAGAGTGTTGTATCGAATACTTAATATAGACCTGGAAGAGTCTATTGTGTAGGTAGTTCCGGTCTCACAATAATAAACAGGTAGGGTTTATTTACCTATGTTGCTTACGTTATTCTTGGTTCGAAATCGAGTAGATATACACACTTGTGAAAATTAAATTAAACAAAACAAATAATCCCGTTATTGTTTACTTTTTTACGTATTTTTTCAGTGAAACATGACGCACTGCACATGTTAGTACTTCGTATGTCCATTCCACGAAATCTTTCCTTGTGGACTGACCACAGATTCTCGATTGGATTTAAAACAGAAGAGTATCCGAGGCAGTCGATGATACTTTGATTTACTCACTGGTAGAGATTGCCAGTGTGTTCGCGCAGCGTTACAATTTTCGTACGCTACCTTGGAGTAACGCCCATGGCAGACAATGGCCATAGGACAATTAATCAACAGTCGAGACATTAGTGTCTGGACATGATAAAGATCTGATGCAATTGCGGTTGACGCAATATTTTTCCAAGGCTAAGCAAATTTCATCATACACCCCGAAAATAGATTCATATTACTGCACACCACTGCAAGTGACCTAATCAGAGGAAAAAATAGAAATCGATTATATCCTGTTAATCCAGTCGGTCCGACCATAATGTGAAAGAAAGGAAATTAAAACAGTTGTTTCGATTAATTTACACAAGTGTGTCTATTGTTATTTCAATGCCTTCTTCCAATGCATTCATGGTGTTGATACTTCGACTTCAAAGTAGTAACTAAGGATTTTGCAAGTAGACGAATGCTATTGGGATTTTCTAAGCCTAGCTTAGATGACACACAAGTCTGAAAGCATTGGGCTGCCTGTGATTTCGAACTCCCTATTTCGTTGCAGTTGATCGAGCGAGAGAAGCTTGTTTAATCATTACGGCACGTCGAAGTACTCAGATGATTTTCGTAGCGTAGTTTAGATGTGGCACAAGTCCGAAAGTATGCGTCAGCAAGTGAGGATCGAACTCACTAACTGATCTAGCGAGACAAGCTTGTTAAACATTACACCGGACGAATGTATTGACTGAAGTGAAGACAAAAAGATAAAGGAAAAAGCATAGAAAACTGAAGAATTATGTGAAGTTATTAAGAAAAAAATGCTCTTGGCAGTGCAGTGACACACACACACACACACACACACACACACACACACACACACACACACACACACACATACACACATACACACACATACACACATACACACATACATATATATATATATATATATATATATATATATATATATATATATATATATATATATATATTTGTGTGAATTGATGTGAGTTTGTGACCCTGACGATTGCAGAAGCATGAAACCCAGAGTTACAAACTCACATCAGTACAACCAAATATATAATAATAATAATAATATATTACATATAATATTTATATACACACACTTCTCACACACACACACACACACACACACACACACACACACACACATATATATATATATATATATATATATATATATATATATATATATATATATATATATATATTTCGTTCGATTGATGTGTTAGCTCTATCTCTGGTATTGAGCGCTTTTTAATAAGTACCGCGCATATAATATATACATAACAATATATATAATATATTGCACATATATATTTATATTTATATACACACACTTTTCACACACAGCGCTTTTACCCAGTGATGTTCTCTGTCTATTATTTCGGAGATTTCCACATATTATTAAAAATAATTAATTTTTTCCTTATGTTTTTCAATGTTACATATTCTCGATATGAGACATTCTCTTTTTTTGTGTTAGTAATGCGAATGTCTCTCTTGAAATGGCAGTGAAGTGTTCTGCGCGAAGGGTCATAAAACAATCAAGGTTGGTCCAAGTGAAATGATGAATTACTTATCGGTATTTTATCTTTTAATATATATATATATATATATATATATATATATATATATATGTATGTATATATAGAGAAAGTACATATATATATATATATATATATATATATATATATATATATATATGTATATATAGTTAGAAAGAGAGAATAAGAAAGAAAGGGGAGGGACTTATACATGATGGTAAAGAATATATTTTAAAATAAATTGACACATTCTAAGTTTAAATAAGAATTTAAACATCCTCAACGAACACAGTTTCCACCCAAAGCCTTGTACAAACCCTCTCTAACTCTAATACTAGCAAACAACTAACCCAAAACTCAGTACCATAACACATGCGGGAAATAAATCCCGTCCCACTCTTAAAAGTCCAACTTCATTTTTTATTTCACGTTGAGAAAGGACACATGCCTGTCAGAAAATCAGTTCGTGAAAGTTATGTGTCGGGATTGGTTAAGGCATTAGTACATCCAAAAAGACCAGTTGACTAACTTTCTTTTTGTTTATTGCGAACACTATGGGTGGTCTTATTGAGTTGACAATTGTCAGTTGTGCTTTCTCATCTTCTTGGAGGTGACCACACTAGGAAGATGTCAATGTGTATTATATCCTGTGCCAGATGACCCGTTTTTGTAGTGTGGTTCTTATAGCAGTTTATTCCAAACATTAGACGTATGTATTTGCTATTACTTGAAATAATACTGATCCTATAATTATTTTAGTTTGTATAGAGATGACAACATAGTTATCAGTTTATCTATTGGGACATTCATACGAGCTCCTAAAGAGAGATTCGATTATATTTCATCTCGAACGACTAACAGAAGCTCATTTGTGGGAACAAGTGTTTGTAAAGTTCAAGATGACTATCTGTTTTGCAAATATAGGAGTAATTCTGATGATTCCAGGAAGGTGAGCAGAGTTCTTGAAAGAGGGCGAAAACCTTTCTGTACATGGGTAAGAAAAACCTGCTCAGCGATCGAGAGGCCGAGCTTCAAATATTTGGAAAGTCCACGCGTATATGACAGGTTTCTGTAACCTAGTTTAGCTTTTTAAGTTCATTTACTGTGACGTAATCTTTGTATTTTTTTACTGAAACTGAAAGAAAAACACCTATTATGAAAATTTTCCATGTCAAATATTCCAGGCTAAATTTTGCGTTCCTCATTTAAAAGGTCTTAAATCGGTTTTGTGAAGCACTGTCAAATTCTCGGACTGACATTTTCCGTTGACATGAAATGGAAATATTATATTGAATCAATTGCTAGGTCTGCTGCTAAGAATTTTAGTCAACTGCTTCTTTCTGGCAATCTTTCTCTCCAGAATCTTACATGTTTATAATTCTATCATTCGTTTTTGCACTAACTGTTGCTACTACATCTGGTCTGGTGCACCTGCTATATATTTAGAGATGCTTGATAAAATCCCCCAAAGAATCTGAACATTTATTGGTCCTGACCTGGCATCTCGGCTTCTGCAACTTTCTCCCAGTCGTATATTTTCCCTTTGCCATTTTTATAAATGCTTTCATGGCAATTGCCCTGATTAACCTTCCTTGGTATTACCTAGACTTTACGAATTTAAGCGGTGTAATAGGAAGGTTTCATCATTTTGCAGTTGAAATGGCTAGCTGTAACCGTAAGTTCTATACTGACTGTTACCGTCCAGGTCCTTGTACCACGGTGATGGTCCAAGGTAGAACCAATAAAGAAGAACTCGAACACGGATATGGAATAACACAGATATATTACAAACAGGAATATATACAGAGAAGTAGAAAGTGTTAGTACGAACAATCAGGTTTAGTAGGGAGAACAATGTAGTCTCGACCAGTATCACTATTCCAATGTCTTGTAGTAATTGTCTGAACGCGACTCTGTTTTGGACTGCCTATGACTCGACTGACTGACTCGCTCGC